CCGCCGTGCGGTGGTCGCCGAGCTGCGGCAGCTTCGACATGAAGTGCACAATGAGGAACATGAGCCGCAGGTGCAGCGCGCGGAGGTAGCTGTCCCGGTCGGCCGTGCCCGCGAGCATGAGCCGGCGGTAGAGCGGCTGGAAGGCGCCGTCCCAGATGGTAGTGACGCGGAACACCTCGGCGCAGACGCGGTCCAGATGGGGGTGCGCCAGCAGGTCGACGATGATGCGGTCGACCTCGTCGTCATCTTCGGACTGCAACAGGCCCGAGTCGTAGACGAGCTGCATTGTTTCCGGCGCCTTAAGGGCGCTGTGCCTCTGGGTCGCGACCCAGTACTCTTCGGCCTCGGCCACGTTGCGAAACTCGACTGGGCACGTCTCGATTTCGGCTGTGCTTTTCGGCAAGTGCAGCAGGAGCAGCGTGAACGCCTCAAACGTCTGGCCGTTCTCCTCGAGCCCCTTGTTGAGGGCCGGCAGCGAAGGCCCGCTCCCAATACGCCCATCGAGAACGCTGCGAGCCTGGTGGGCGAGGTTGGCGAACGTGTCCACGAGGTCGGCGAGGAAGGCTTTCGGGTTTGGAGCGAGGTGCGACATGTCGCCGTAGTCGCCACTCACCGTGGCGAACAGCACGGCCAAGCCATGATTGATGTGTTGCAGGGCGGACTGGCGGTCGCCCCTGATGATCTCGAAACAGATGAAGAGCACCGACAGGAAGAGTGTGTCCTGCAGAATCGTCCCCGGCGAGGCCTGCCCCTGGAGACGCAGGGCACGGCAGTAGCTGGCCACGGCGTGCTGGTAATGCGGACTCAGCGTCGTGAGAGCCTGCGTCGGACTCATGGGCTCCATCTGATGGGACATGGCGAGAGCCCCGATGGCGATGCCGGCGTGTCGGAGGGTATCATTCGTGCGCGCCAGCTGCGGCATCGTGGTCCTCCACAGCTTGGCCCCTGCCGCGGTGCCTCCGCCGATGGAGACGCGCATGAGGCTGACGAACTCGTCGAAATACAGGGCGTTGAGGTCCGTCTCGAAGTCCATCGTGTTGACGTTGGGCTCAAGCAGTCTTCTCGGAGAGAGTTGCATGAGCTGGTCTACGGGTTTGCTCACGGCCGATTCTGGTGTTGGGGCTGTCGTCTCCGGCTTGGACCGCTTCTTTCTCGGCTTGATCACATAGCCCTCGCAGTAGCCGCGTGATTTGAGGCAGTTCATACAGTACGGCTTGGTCTCGTCGCATTTGACATGGCGCTTCTTGCAGGTGACGCAACCCGTACGGACCTTGGCCGTGCTCGTACGGCTGAGTCGTTGACGTTCAGTGACAGAGGCAGCATCTTGGCTGGCGTGGTTGCTTGGTGATACTGTTGGGGAGCTTGAGCTTGAAGGAGAAGGAAGAGAGGAAAATGTTAGTCAGTGGATTCGGCAGGATCATTTGAAGGGCTGTAATTCACTCAGAGTCATTGCCTGGCCCGGCCTTTGGTCTGCGTGGGAGGGATTCCATGAGCGGCAGTAGATGTGAGCATTAGCTAGCCATGATGTGGGCCAGATGCTCGAACAAAGAAAAGACAGGGAGACAGGCGGTATATTGACAGTAGAAAAATCGATCACGACGATGGAGCACAGCCCGCTGGCGCTGTTCCCAGATTGGAGGGAGGTGAAGGTGCCTGATGATATGTTCGAAAAGGCACCGTCAAGGTGGAGGAGGCAGCTTGATTCCGCGTCAGATTCGTCTCGCCGATCACCAAAGGAGAAAGTGTGCATGAGGCAGCCGTCAGCACGATCAGGCAGACAAATGCCGTGTTGGTCCGAGTTTACCTGGCGGCCTATTCCGGACGGTGGTGGGTGGTGCGTGTGGTTGATCCTGATTCCCGTGCAGTGTGTTCCTTGGCGTGTCAGCACGACCACCCTCCACACCCCCGCGCGTCAGCCCTGGTCAATGTTGCCGAGCCGGATACTTCCGGGATTGCATGTGTCGTGCTGACATGTATGTACCGGTGCGTTATGATGCAAACGGGCTATCTCCGATGAGTCATTTCACGTGACATGACTAGGGCCGTCGCAGCCCCTCTTTTCCCGTCTCGGATGGCCCGCGGACGAGTGATCGCGCCATGACGCTGTGCCGCTTCCCAGTCCCATTTATGCTGATAAGCCCCGACGTCAACGACCTCGAAACATCCCCTCCTTCTCTCATTATCCCCCCTCCTCCTCTCATCCGTACCATCGCGTACGCAAAAGCGTTTTCGACACCGTTCGAATTGAACCGCCTCCCGGCCTCATAGAGAGGCCGCCCACACTCTGCAACAATGCCCGCTACCGGATGCTCAGCAGCAGCGGCGGTTCGCCAGACCGTCTTCTTCTACCAGCCCTCGCAGCTCGAGGTTCGCTTCGACCCCGAGTGATGCCCTTGACTGGCCCGCGGAGATCATAAGCCTCGATGACATCGCAGCCCTCGGTCTCCCGGGTCCTCAGGGGTGGCAGGGTCTGGACCCTTTTGCCGCCTGTGCCCTACCAGATGTCAACGCCGGCGCCGCGCTCTCCTCTGTCGACGGGTCCCCGACCTGGGACTTTTTGACATGGGATCCCGCGACTTCGGCGACCAGTACTGGTGCGGACGCCACATTTCCGGACCTGGAGATCGGAGCTGGTAAGAGTCCCATGTTGTCCTTTTTTTTTTTTTTTGGGGGGTGGGTCACAGATACGGTACATAATACTGGGCTGAATCCCGGATGCTGACGGTGACATTCAAGATTTCCTCAACTTTCCTGATTACACACCTCCCCTTCCCTCATCTATGCCCAACATTTCTCCGTCCATTCCCTCTCTCCCCTCCTATGACCTTCCTTGGGCTCCAACAGGCCACCCTTTTACCCGGCCGGGAGCCCGTTTGAGGGTGGAATCGCCCCCCCACACAAAACCAGAATCCACCAACAGGGCCCCCCGCTCTGTCGTCTCACCGCCCGACCGGGAAGTCTCCGAGGGGGGGGAGGCGTGACGCAAAGCCATTCGGCGGGAGGCCGGCCAAAAAGGGGACGGAC